CTCTCAAAATTAAATTGAAACTTGACTTATTTGGGGAGGGAATAAAGAGAACTGACAGATGACTCCCTTCTGAGCATAGGTCACCCTCATTCAGAAGTATAGAATGATTAAGTACGGACACCACTTTTTGCTTTTGTGTCCTTGATTTATCTGTTTGTTACAGTGCTCACATGAACAAAGTTAACATTTACAGAATGATACAACTCTTATTACCATTACTCAAAGGACTGAAGTTAATTTTGTTGAGACTTTAAACTTTTGATTCAAAATCATTCAATTTAATGGATTTATGAACAGAAACAGCAGCACTATGATTGCATGGAAATTCACAAGGAACATGGCACAACAGCATCATGTGCACTAAAACTAGAAGTTTATACCAAAGTCTGTGCAGGCATATTAAAAAATCACTATTTTGCACAATAGCATTCAGCTCATGCTTGTTACTATTTAAAAAAAGAAAAAAAAGTGTCATACTAAGTGTTCAGTTGTTCTTATATACTTGATAAACTCAAAGAATACATTTTGGAGGAAAAGAAAATCTCAATAGTAAAACTATCTGAAGAATAGTTACCAGGCAGAGGTCATAGATTAAATCTGGAAATGAAGGAGGATGATAAAAAAAAAAAAGAAAGTATAACAAATGTATCTCTGTTCAACCTCCCAAACTAGCAAAACTGAGAAGCACTCAAAGAAAACTGTTAAAAATTAGTCTAATCAAAGTTGAAGTAAAATGAACAGTTCTCTTACTGTGATAGTTCAGATACGTGTCTGGGCCCAATCAAGATGGTCAGAGAAGCTCTTTTATACTCAAGGTCATTAAAAATACCCAATACTCAACAGATGTCACACAGTCCTTGGCTTTTTAGACTACAGACCTCTGTCAGCTCTCAGAATTGCTCATAAAAGTTTCACATGAAATCACTATAAACACAAGATATTTCCTGAGTTGAACAGAGGCCTGCCTTGAAGAACAGCTGAAATGATCACGACCTTGAAGATCACTAGCTTGTCTTGTATTACCAAAGAAAGAAAACATAGTTTAAGAACACAGTAACCATATTCACATAATACAGACCACAGTTTGAAGTTGAATCAAAAACATGCTCACATTTGATTTGATAATACTGAAATCATAAGACTGTAGGTGAAAACTGCAGCACTATTTTTAAATTTGAAGAGCTTCGTTGTCATTGTTTCTCACTTTGAGGTCTAATAACGTGAATATTTATGCTTTTCTGGTAATCTTGACAACTGATGTGGAAATTAAGGAGATAAAAACTTTATATAAATATGTAACGTATATATAACAAACAACAAATACAAAGAATTTAGTGAGGCCTTTATATTCAACCTTTACCCAAGAGAAATGTTCAGTGCTCCCAAACTCAAGTGCTTGTGCTATTTCAGCAGCACAGAAGTATCATTTCAGTTCACAAAGGCAACTACTGCATAATAAGTTCACTTCGTAAAAAAAATGTCTGGCCTAAGTCAAGATTTTCATTGGAATTATTTGTACCTCAGAATAACAAAGATCGTAGCAAAATATTTTAGTCAGACCTTCCAAATCTCACTACTCTAAATTGTTCCAATTCAACCACATTTTAAATGCAATAAAATTCAGCAACTATATCATCTATATCATACACTTACCAGTCTTTTTCCCATAAGTCTTGAAGCCTAAAAGTTACCATGGAAACAAATTCTACATTTCCACAAATTGGAACTGTCAGTTCGAAACAAAAGAAAACCAAAAAAAAAAATGATTAACTCATTGCTAACTGCACTTCATCGAAGTTAGTAATGCCTAAGCAGCTTGTAGGTTGTCAGACATAGTAGGTGTTACAGTAAAATTAATCAGGGATACTAAGTAGTATGGTTCTCATAAGGATTTCTTAAAATAATAATGCTAATAACAAAAAACGAAGCATCACTTTCCTCCAGAAAAAGCATTTCACAATGTATTTACAACGTGCTACTGCAACAGTTAATGTGTGATAAGAGTACCACAAAACCACAAGTTATTCTATTACCTAAATTAAGGCAGGAACACCGGTAGAAGCTTTGGACTCAAGCAGCATATATACCCAGTTATGCCTATCTCAGAGATCTAACAGAGAGATTAAATCTCTCACAGCTTTGGTTTCCTATCTGTAACATGGTGGTAACAGTGCTTTTAATAGCAGATAATACTTTGAGAATGATGCAGCATGTGCTATCTGCACAGCTTCCTAATCATGCAACACCATACAATTAAATGATGTATAACACTGTACAAATGTCATATTGTACTTTATTTGTTTTATGATGGTTATCTGCAATACCCGAGAAACACAAAGAAACTGCAGTTCCCAAACTTGTTTCTTACATCTCTAGAAGTAACCAAATGGATCTCCTGCTATGCATTTTAGATTAAAGTCTGATATATATCATATTATACATGGCCTAAGAACATACATGTGAAAATTCAAGTAAGAGTGCTAAAGTCAAAAACATGCACCACTGGGGATCAGATACTCTCCTTTGGTCCATAGAGTTTCTCTTGTGGCTAGAAGGCATCACTCTCCAGTTTAATTTGATATATTATTTAAATGTTCATTATTTATTTTTACTATCTTTTATCACTGTAGTGATTTTGTATATTATCTTCTGAAAACGCCAATGAATGTTCCAGTCCTGGTATGGCTCAGGTAGTGTGAATTCCTGCCAGTTATAAACCAGTTTCAAAGTATTAATGTCACTGAAGTATGTCAGATAGACACTATTCTTAACCTAAGTGAGACTTGAAAACACATTGTAGAACAATAGTGGTAAGGTTTTTCACCTCTGTTTCAGCAGGCACTTCAAAGAGATGCTTGAAAGGTAACAAGCCATTCATCAGGAGTTTCAAACTTGTAAGGTAAGTAAGCACATAAATTGAAAAAGTTCAAAATCAGGAGTTAATCAAGACAGCAGATCCATGGAATAAGCTACATTCCAATCCTGACAGGATCGGAAAAAAATGCACAAAGTATTTGTTGACATTGATCGTGTTATGTTTTAGGACTTGGCTGTACAAACATACAGAAAATGAATGTTTCCAAAAAGGTTAAATGTAACCTCAGTGTATAGCCTAAAACTTAAGCCATTTCTGCTTTTCTTTTTTTTTTCTTTACTATTCCTTAATTTTCTCATATTAGAATTATTCTTATAAAAATATTGTTTTCTTCAGCCTCAGTTGCAAAACAATAAGGCTACAAAAAAGACAGCAAATACCTAAATCTCTACATTTCTTTGCTCTACATACTGCATATCCTTCCTTACTCAATTTACTAATGCATTTCTTTTGCACATCCCTCAGAAATCTGTAGCACACAGGTGATATGAGTATTGTTTTGGTTTTTTTTTATTATAGTCTGTAACACAGAAAATTAAAATGCATTTTTAAGTTTAATCTAAGATGTTCGAACATCTTGCTAGTGTAAAATACTGCATATCTGTCATTCCACTCTCCACTGCTGAGAATGGGAGAAATCTTTAAAGAAGTCATGGCTTTCATGCTTCATGGTACTTCTCTCTCCCTCAGAGTTTTCAACATAGGAGATCTTTTTGGGGGTCCCATTTACTCGTTTTAAAACACGTTCCCTCAAATGGGCTGCCAGATATTTCCATTTACTGAAAATCACTTTTGCAGTCAGGCTGAACTCAGAACAACAAACTTTCAGTCCTAGCATTGCTTTAACTAGATGTAATTAACATTTACCAACACATGTAAAATGCTGTAACATCTTTCATTCTCTTGAAAATCAGACAACAATTAAAGGAGACATTAGCATTGGTTTCTCAGATAAAAAGAAACGGAGATATTGTATTTCTGAGAACTGCTAACAGCTTGCTCTTATTTTAAAAGTGCCTTCCAACAATAGACCTAGTTCCATCCACTTCTTTTCTTCTGTGAAGGGCACAGAGTGCATACTCAGTTGGCTTAACATTTCTTAGATTGTCAGTCAGGACACAAGACAAAAGTCAACTGGGCTAGCTTTAGCATTGACATTTTCCTTCTCTTCCCCCTTCATGCCTTTAAATTGCTACAAAATATGTTTAAATTGTATCTTCAGAGAAAATTGAAATAGTATGTCTTTTCTGAATCTACTCTCTACTGTCAGAATACCTTCATTAAAACTGTGTCCTCAAAGAAAAGCCTTCCAAAATTTAGTACTTCCTTCCTTAAGAAAATCAGCTGGATTAAGAGCATGCATATTTAGTTACTAAAATACAAAGTAGTATGATTAGGAATTGACGACAAAAAAAGTTCTGTAGGAACAAATGGAAAAATAAATATTACCCCACAGTTACATGCAGAACTGACTTGTTTGTTCCTGTGAAATGTGTAACCTTAGTTTTTTTAATAGTCTTATCTGCATTGTCATTTTTCCAGGCTTCTACAATCACTGTTGGTAAATAAGTGCTCTCTGGTTACCTACCACAAAATAAACCATTCTCCATGAACCAAATAAAAACACATCTTTCAAAAACTGTACACCCTGGGGAAAAGGGCAACTGGACATTCTGCCAGAATTGGCTATTTACATTTAACATCTATAGTCCATCAAATTTTCAGGAAACAATATTTAATGTGATCTAATTTTAAATCTTATGCTGCCAGTGACCTTTGAACTCTGGAAGTATTGCTGCTGTCCATATGGCAAATGTAATTATGGAATTTGATTGTAAGCAATGAAACTACTTTAACTGACACCCATGTATATTTGTTATAGTTTCTATGTAAATTAAAAATCAATGCCAATTTCAGCTCCCAGGACAAAACTTTTTATTAAACTGGTTATTTCTTTTGAACTGGAGATATTCAGAAGCAAATATTTTGCAGAACATACAAATTTAGTTTTAAAGCATATTGTAGTTTGCACGCATGACATTTTTCTTAAATGTCTGGAATTGGAGATACACAGAAACAAACATATTGCAGAATATACCTTTTTTTAAAAAAAAAATTATATTGTAGTTTGGAGGCATGACATTTTTCTTAAGGTTTGTGTGTCTCACACTTCTGCACACACACAGAGACAAACCCCATCAATTCTACACTGCCTTCAGGATATTTTACCTTTAGCTGATTTTTTGATTGATTGCCAAGCATGCTTCATAATGATTAAGTGGGATATGATTGTATTATCTGATTCCAATTCTACGATGTATTATAGGTATCCAATACAGCATTATAACAAAATCCAAAATAAGGGTAACGTGATTTTTTAAATTATTACTTTTTTTTTTTTTTTCATAGAAGAGTCCAGATTTAGGAAATATTTCAACCTTGTTGCACTTTCAAGGAAATGCTTGACAAACATTGGTGACTTGTTTCTTTCTTATTATATTATTTCTTTGTCTCCATCCTCACTGATTGAATATTGGAAAGCTCAGTATAAATACAGATATCTAAAACTACAACTTCATTCTACAATGGACAGTATCTTAAGTAGAGTCTATCAAAATATTTCGCCATCTGCTATCTGACTCTGCATAAATTCTGTTAAATTTCAGGATAGACTTTGAAATAGCCATAAAATCTGCTGTGGGGGATGGAAGGTGATAGCTGTGGTTTCAGACCCACAAACAGCATGCCGCTTTGTGTGAGATATTTGTACGTTGCCATAAGAATCGTAAGCTGTATTTTTCCCTAGAAGGAAAAAAGACAGAAATATATTTTGAAATGACCTTTTGTGTTGAAACGGTGTTAACCATATAAGCTACATACTGAATAAAGATTGATTGAGGAACAATGAAGAGAATAAGAACACTTACAGCTCAAAGGTCCTGCTCTCACACACAACACAGGGCCACATCTGATCTCGCAGTGTTTTATCCCTCTGTGACCACATAGACCTCATTAAGCTTCATCCTTTATACAAACACAAATGAATATATAAGTAGAAAGTAAAGAGCTGCACAGATTTTTCACAAGAAAAAGGTGGAAAACTCTTAATCAGGAATCAGCAGGCTACCGTGCCAATTTTGTTTTCAAAGGCTTTTGTTTGTTCACACTGTACTATCTTTATCAATACAGCTAATTTACATCACAGGTGCAAAGCATCAAAATCCAGAAACACCAGAAATTTTGCCTTGCAAAAAAAAATAGCATTTCTTACCTGCAAAGGGATCTCAGTATCTAAATCGTGTCTCTCTTTTAACTATAAGCAGTGCCAGCCCTTTACAATCATTTCTTCTTTGCTTTCTGTCAATTGGAGAACTCTCTTCTTTCCTACATCCTCTCCGAGCAGCATTAGTCAGACATCACAAAATATCTAGGTTCTGCAGTGAAGACTGTTACCATCCCTCCTCATTCCAGGTTCTTTTCAGTAAAATGGGTTTAGGAAGAACAGAAATGAGATAAAATCAAAACATTAATAAAACTTCAAATATAATTGATTTATTCTGCTTTGAAATAAATTGATTTTTTTAATTAATGATTTTATTATGTGTAACAACTCATGAATTAATTCCTTCTGTAAATAAAATAATGAGAAGAAAATAAGTTACAAACTCAATATTGTAAATACTATAGAGGCCCAGTGTAATCCATCATACCTGTAGTTACATTTTGCTCTGCAAACAAATTGTCAACATGTAATTTGCTTTTGATGTAGGCTAAGAGCACTTTATCATGTTAAAGCTTATTGATGCCTGTAAGGCCCTTTTACCTACAGATGTTTCAAATGTAGTAAAATAATGAAACACTAATCTCTAAGACTTTTATTCTATAATAGATGTTGGGTTTTTTTCCTCACTAAATCAATTCAAAGGCTAATTGGGGTGGAAGGTGACTATCTCTAGCGGTTATAAATACATTTGCATTGCTATCAATCTTTTACAAGACTGATGTTTAACGAGGCTGAAGAGCTCAGACCAGCCTGAGGGGCCACGCTGCGAACTTGTAGTCAATGCTGCCATCAAGTGGCAGAACAGGGAGTTGCAACACCCCTCGTTTTCCTGTTTTATTGTACATACTCCCCAATAAACGTACGTAATAAAGGTTAGACTTTTCCAGCATGCAGACTCTTTTGCCCAACTCTGTTGGCCACATGAAGCTCCATCCATGACGGTCTACCATAGACAGTTATGACAGGAGGAAGCAAAAAACCCATGGAGATTTCAGACAGATAACCTCAAGGTTCAAGCAGTCCACAGGGCGTCATTGACCCCTTCATCCCTTTATGGTTGAACCATAGTCCACACAACTTTTTAACCACCCAGAACAAATGCAAGTACACTCCCTTCTCTTGGCAACTTATTTTTTCCCATGGACTTGATTTGTCTGTGAACTTGAGTGGCTCTTTGCTCCATGCATCACTTCTGCATGGACAGCTTGCAATGAAGTGTATCTTCTTGAGGAAAGAATAATCTAAAGCAATTCTTTTGTATACACCTGCAACTTTTACCCATCTCCAACTAGATAAGCATTACCCATGTAAGTGTCATAACAGAGAATAGCAAATACAAAATAAGCAAGGAACCAGCACAACCTTTATGACATTACAGCACTACTCTGTGCTCTCCAGACCTTTACAGACAGAAATTTAAAGTAGGCAATTGCTGATATGATGGAAGACTGTGTTTACTGAAACCAGCTACTATGACTGCAGAATCTTCCTTTCATGTGTCTAATGTTGCAGTAAACAGTTCATTAACCATAACTAATGGTATTAAAGTAGCAGGCAAGAAACTTGTATTGTCCTTTATTACCGAATGTTTTAAAGTATGCTGTCACAAAGCAATATATTCCATGTAAATATTAATGCCATATCAGGGTACATCCCTGTGCAAGCAAAGACAAGCTTTTGTCTCAATGAACAGGCTAACAGGAGAACTGAAAGAGAATCATAGATTCATAGAACTGTAGAATGGCCTGGTTGAAAAGAATCTCAAAGATCAGAAGCAAAAGGCCAGGGGGAAATGCCATCATAAGGATACAGGATGCTCAGAATGGGTTACAATTTCTTACAAGAAGGAACACACGATGTTACTCAGCCAACCAAAAAAGAGTGTAAATCCGAATTTTGTTTAAAAGTAACTAGGGGCTTTGCTTGTCCCGTTATGAGAATAAAAAACAACAACCAGGTCTTGAGAAAACATTTTAAACATGAAACAAAAGAAAAGCACTATGAAAAGGATCACAGCACTGTACATTAAAGGAAGTTAACATGCCAGTGCAACCAACATATATATAAAGAATTGACAAAAAAAAAAAAAAAAAGAGAGAGAGAGAGAGAGAGAGATGAGGTTTTGGATAAACATAGTTGAACTAATCTAGGAAGCTTACCAGTAAGCTCTTCCAAGCATCTAGCATCTAAAGTGGTACACTGTAGAACATAGTATCATCAAAGATGCTGCATATACATATAGGTGCTTGAGTTCAGAAAGCAATCAGGCAAAGCAATGGGGAGAAAAATTAATCAAGGCTATTAAACAAGTAAATATGACTTCTGAAGGTGCAATCATGCTTAATGTTGAAAAAGGTGACTACTGAGAGATGCATTAGTACATTCTTAGGCATCTGATAGTAATCACTGCTAGTGAGAGAATACTTCACCAAATGTACATTCAGTCACTACAGCCATGTTGCAGCAGATTTTTCAAACCCACAGCTGTTACACTCTCAATGTGATCCAAGCCTGTTTGGAAAAATTACATTTGAAAACAGACAGAGAAGTTCTTCAGAGAGCTCCCTATCATCACCCATCTAAGCCTTTCAGAGTTTAAAAGGTACTTCATTAAAAGCTTCAGATCCACTGGGCCGGGCAGCACTGTATATTCACATGAAATACCTGCCAAATTTCCATGCAAATTGATTTTGTGCCTTTAGCTTTGCACCTTCTTTCTTAGGTTTTGATGTTTCACTGCTGATTTGCTCGAACACCAGTGCATGAGCAATTAGTACAGTAGTTGCTGAAGGCAAGTTGCAAACAAGCATTATGTCAAGAATGATCATAAACTAACATTTCACTTATCCTAACACGAGACACTTGAATTTTAATCACCCTTGCTCTTCAGCAGCCATAAAGAAGAGAGAGTGAACAGTTTTAAGCTAAAAGTTGTAATAGATAGTTATTTATCTATGCTTTTTTATTGTTGCTTTCTTATTGTTTTGCTTGGATCCAAGAGCAGCACTCATATTTTAAAAAGACAGTTTTTCTTGCATAGAAAGACTATCCACATGGAAGATGATGCAGCTTTTCTGCAGAATCTGGCCGTAATCTATGCCACGTATTTCATTCAGAGGAAATGTCCTAGTTTTGTTGTACTATGTTACCATCTATTAAAACAAAATTGGAATTTTTCAGTCCAACAGCTTGCCTTGAAAGACTCTTATAGGCAGATTTGACCTTTACATTATGAATTTCATTTCATTATAAGCTCTTACATTTAGATTACTGCTTAACATGAACTCTCACTGAAACGTGACCCGACAATTACTATCTATATTTATTCATACTAAGCTTTCTGCTTAACAACTATCAGGCTAAAAGTGGTGTATAGTTACTAGAGAAATAATATTTCCTGCTATTTCAGACAATGAAGGTCATATCAGCTTCACATAAAAGGAATGGAAAAGTTTCATATTTTTTAACAGTGGCATGCAATTTAAATTCATTATTTTAATCACTGTAATGCAGTGTTGTCCAAAATTGTTTTTTTTCCTAACTCCCTTTTCATGTAGACATCAGGCATATAGTTAATTATCATTAAGTACAAAACAGATTGGAAACTTACTGAACAATACAATTGGGGGAAAAAAAAAAAAAAAAAAAAAAGCTTAGATCTTACTGTGTCTGAGTTTTGTTTATTATATACATTATATTACCTTAATTTTATTTATAGACTTATTATTATTTATGTACTTATCCTCTTGGCAAAATAATTTTACCTTTCCGAATCCGGCATTCAAAAAAAGGATCCCAAGTATATTTATAAGCTATTTGTTTGGTATTTTGATAAACCAGACCAAGAAGAAAAACTGAGCTCCCTGATGGGACGGGAAGGGGCGGCATCCCCGGAGGAACTGGCGGGCAGAGGCAGTGGGGTGGAGCTGCGGACGGGAGCGGGAGCGGCTGCCTCTCCCCGCCTGGCCCGGCTCAGCCGTCTCAGCTCGCCGCTTTCCTTCGCACTATCGTGGTTTGACTCTCATTTTTTTTATACTCTTCTCTCTCTCGTTTTGTTTGATTTAGTTAGATTCAGTAAATTACCCTTCCTCCTCAGATCGTCGCCATTGTGTTTTCTCCGTGTTAAAACTATCGGCTAACTTTCTGCCCTTCCCCCCCTCCCTGAGCGCACGTGGCCCGGGGCCGGCCGGCTCGCGGCAAACCGTTCGTACCCCCCTTTTTTTCCTTTCTTCTTCTTCTTTTTTTTTTTTTTTTTTTTTTTTTTCTCCCTGTGGCCTGTGCCCCCCTGTCACGGACTTACATCTAAGGATAACCCGTGACAACATAATGTCATGGTTTAACCTGGTTCAGCAACACAAAGGCATTCACTCACCCCACCCCTTTCCAGTGAGGTGGAGGAGAGAATGAGATAAAAAGTAGAATCTGTAGGTTAAGATGAAACCATTTACTAAGAGAAAAGAAAAGGAAAATAGTTACGACAGTTTATATCTATACCTATAATATATATATGTATGTATAAATGTATATTACAAGTGATGCACAAGGAATTTCTCACCACCCTCCAAACAATGCCCGGTTAGTTCTCAAGCAGCTGATGACAGCAAGATAGAATCCGACCTCCTTCAAATCTTCTTCTGCATGAAGTCATATGGTAGAAAATGTGTAACTCAGCTGTCCTAATGTCTCTGCTTCTTGGGCCCTTTGCTGAGAATGGCCTTGGCCCTGTACAGCACTGCTTAGCAGCAACTATAAACATCAGAATGTTGTCAACATTGTTTTTCTCTTTGAACCAAAACATAGCACCATACCAGACACTCTGAAGAAAAATTCATCCCAACTGAAACTAGGTTACAGAACCACAGAATCACTAAGGTTGGAAAAGACCTATAAGATCATCCAGTCCAACCATCCACCATCACCAATGGTTCTCGCTAAACCATATCCCTCAACACAACATCCAAACATTCCTTGAACACCTCCAGGGAAGGGGACTCCACCACCTCCCTGGGCAGCCCATTCCAGTGCCTGACCACCCTTTCAGAGAAGTAGTATTTCCTAATATCCAGCCTGAATCTTCCCTGGCGCAGCTTGAAACCATTCCCTCTAGTCCTATCACCGGTTATACGGGAGAAGAGGCCGACCCCCAGCTCGCTACAGCCTCCCTTTCAGGTAGTTATAGAGAGCA